TATGGAGAGTGGACCATCATCTCATCTCGACTGGGCTCGTAGTCTGGAAGCGGTTCTTTCAGATCGGACGGCTTTGGATTTATTCCAAAAATGGTTAATGGAATATTCATTACCGCAATATTTGGATCTATATTTTGCAATTCAAGCGTTTGAGAGATGACTTTGGAAGGGATATTCTGAGATTCTGAGATTCTGAGATTCTGAGATTCTGAGATTCTGAGATTCTGATATTCTGAGATTCTGAGATTCTGAGATTCTGAGATTCTAAGTTCCTGAGATTCTGAGATTCTGAGATTCTGAGATTCTGAGATTCTGAGATTCTAAGATTCTGAGATTTTAAGATTCTGAGATTTTAAGATTCTAAGATTCTAAGATTCTGAGATTCTGAGATTCTGAGATTCTGAGATTCTGAGATTTTGATATTCTGAGATTCTGAGATTCTGAGATTCTGAGATTCTGAGATCCTGAGATTCTGAGATTCTGAGATTCTGAGATTCTGAGATTCTGAGATTCTGAGATTCTGAGATTCTGAGATTCTGAGATTCTGAGATTCTGAGATTCTGAGATTCTGAGATTCTGAGATTCTGAGATTCTGAGATTCTGAGATTCTGAGATTCTGAGATTCTGAGATTCTGAGATTCTGAGATTCTGAGATTCTGAGATTCTGAGATTCTGAGATTCTGAGATTCTGAGATTCTGAGATTCTGAGATTCTGAGATTCTGAGATTCTGAGATTCTGAGATTCTGAGATTCTGAGATTCTGAGATTCTGAGATTCTGAGATTCTGAGATTCTGAGATTCTGAGATTCTGAGATTCTGAGATTCTGAGATTCTGAGATCCTGAGATTCTGAGATTCTGAGATTCTGAGATTCTGAGATTCTGAGATTCTGAGATTCTGAGATTCTGAGATTCTGAGATTCTGGAGGATGCTGGGATTCCAGGATCCTATGGTCATAGGATTTCAAGATTTCCAGAATCTGATATTCTGAGATTCTGAGATTCTGAGATTCTGAAATTCTGAGATCCTGAGATTCTGAGATTCTGAGATTCTGAGTTGCTGAGATTCTGATATTCTGATATTCTGAGATTCTGAAATTCTGAGATTCTGAGATTCTGAGATTCTGAGATTCTGAGATTCTGAGATTCTGAGATTCTGAGATTCTGAGATTCTGAGATTCTGAGATTCTGAGATTCTGAGATTCTGAGATTCTGAGACTCTGAGATTCTGAGATTCTGAGATTCTGAGATTCTGAGATTCTGAGATTCTGAGATTCTGAGATTCTGAGATTCTGAGATTCTGAGATTCCGAGATTCTGAGATTCTGAGATTCTGAGATTCTGAGATTCTGAGATTCTGAGATTCTGAGATTCTGAGATTCTGAGATCCTATTCTGAGATTCTGAGATTCTGAGATTCTGAGATTCTGAGATTCTGAGATCCTGAGATTCTGAGATTCTGAGATTCTGAGATTCTGAGATTCTGAGATTCTGAGATTCTGAGATTCTGAGATTCTGTGAGATTCTGGAGGATGCTGGGATTCCGAGATCCTATGGTCATAGGATTTCAAGATTTCCAGAATCTGATATTCTGAGATTCTGAGATTCTGAGATTCTGAAATTCTGAGATCCTGAGATTCTGAGATTCTGAGATTCTGAGTTGCTGAGATTCTGATATTCTGATATTCTGAGATTCTGAAATTCTGAGATTCTGAGATTCTGAGATTCTGAGGTTCTGAGATTCTGAGATTCTGAGATTCTGAGATTCTGAGATTCTGAGATTCTGAGATTCTGAGATTCTGAGATTCTGAGATTCTGAGATTCTGAGATTCTGAGATTCTGAGATTCTGAGATTCTGAGATTCTGAGATTCTGAGATTCTGAGATTCCGAGACTCTGAGATTCTGAGATTCCGAGATTCTGAGGTTCTGAGATTCTGAGATTCTGAGATTCTGAGATTCTGAGATTCTGAGATTCTGAGATTCCGAGATTCTGAGATTCTGAGATTCTGAGATTCTGAGATTCTGAGATTCTGAGATTCTGAGATTCTGAGATTCTGAGATTCTGATATTCTGAGATTCTGAGATTCTGAGATTCTGAGACTCCGAGATTCTGAGATTCTGATATTCTGAGATTCTGAGATTCCGAACTTCTGAAATTTCAGGATTCTAAAATTACCCTAAAATTCAAACCTTCCCATTTACAGTATTCTTCCAAAAAACCGAGGGTTCCCATAAGAAGTCACCAAAAAGAGACCAATCAATCAGCATCTGTCACTTTCAAGGGGGGTGGTCTCCTCTCCTAATCCCTTCCTGGGAACAGCGGAAAAAGGAACCCATTTTTTTTGCTAGGTGGTGACAGATTTGATTGGTGGGTATGGGAATTTGGTTGGGCCCAAAAATTCGGGGAAAATAGCTTGAAAATGTCGAAAATAGTCCAAAACTCATAAAACTTTCTAAACTTTTTCCCCAAAAATAGGTCTTGAATCTCACCATTCTTCGATACTCCATCCTTCTCCTTTTCTCCAGAATTCGGTCCCTTCGGCGACCGATTTTGGGATCCTTTTTGAGAATCATCCGTCATTTTCATTTTCAAATAATCATCCAATTCTTCGTCCTCATCAATTCCGCCCATATCCACATCGGCTTCAGTTCCATTCACCATATCGATTGTCTGAAATATTCCAAATTTTATTGAAGTACAGTAATCCAGAAATTACATCATCTATTGAATTTGGCTCGTTATGCGCTTCAAAATGAGTATAAACAAGGCAAACTTTTGAAATTTTGATTTTTGCCTTTTTTGGTCCAAAATTTGGTCAATTATGATTCAAATTTAATTTTGCTAACATTTAAATATTTATCTTGTCAATAGTTTCAAAATGAGTATAAACAAGGCATACTTTTGAAATTTTGATTTTTGGCCTAAAATTGGTTTGGTCCATAACTTGGTCAATTTTGGTCCAAATTCAATTTTGTTTACATCGAAATATTTGTTTTGCTAGGAGCTTTTAAATGAGTATAAACATGGCATACTTCGAAAAATTTTGATTTTTTCCATATTTCGGCCCGTGTCCCAATTTAGGGTAAAAATCGAAAATTTCACCCGTATGCCTTGTTGGTACTCATTTTGAAGTTCTTCACATGCCAAACAATGTGGAGCCAAATAATTTGAGTTTCGACAAAAATTGATCAATTTATGGACCAAAATCTGATTTTAGGCGAAAAATGCAAAACCTGAAAGTATGTCTTGTTTACACTCATTTTGAAGCTCTCAATCTCACAAATTCAATAATCTACAGCATTTCCAAACAACACTTACCGTATACCGACACTCCTCGATATCATCAATCCTTCTCTCCATTTCCTCATTCATTTTGACCTTATCCAAATGTCGCAACAATTTTTTTGTGATTTCCATTGAGAATCCTCTCCTTCCATTTTCGGTCGCATGGTCAAACGGTTGGTCGGCGGCTGATGAGGCCTGTTGCTTCTCGACGCGGGGTACTGTAGCCGTATCCCGATTCTGGTGGGCTTGCTCTTCGCGCAAGTGACGGAGTCTGAAAAATTAGGGTTTTGTGGAGAAAGAGAAAAATGGATTCAAAATATCCATTTGGGACGTTAAGAGCTTCAAAATGAGTGTAAACAAGGCATAGTTTAAGACCTAAAATCAGTTTTTGGATCATAACTGGGTCAATTTTAGTCTGAACTCAAAAATCTTCGAATAACTGTCTTTGGTTTGTTTTGCGCATTAAAATGAGTATAAACAAGGCTTACTTCTGAAAATTTGTTTCTTAGCCTTTTTCGGCCCAAACTGGCCGCCGTAAAAAGTCAAAATTCAAAAAAGCCCAAACCAATTTTAGGGCAATAAATAAATATTTTTTAAAGTAGGTCGTGTTTATACTCATTTTGAAACTCAAAACGTGTTTATAATTTTGAAAATAACTACTTTACATTTGGACCAAAAAGAGTCTAGTTACGGCCTGAACTGTTTCGGGCCAAAAATCAAAATCCCCCAAAATATGCCTTGTTTATACTCATTTTAAAGCTCTCAACTCCCCAAATTAAAATTTTCAGGTTTCCAATCTTACCGATTCGATCTGTGTGCTCCAGGAGCATCTCCAGAAAATGATGAGCTGACGGCAGAGTCGTTGTGGGATGTGGTGGCGTTGCAGACGTACGGCTGGCGCGCCGATGGATACATTTTTTCGAGTTTTCTTAAATAATTTTTTAGAAAATTCGAAAAAATTATGAACTTACAATTCTCCAAATTTCGTATGCCTGTCGTGTTTGGTTTTCAACAAAGCCTCGGCTGTCAATTGAGTAGCTGTTCTTTTAGAAGAGCCAGATTTTCGAATGGTGTTCTGATGAGAGGACGAAGAGTCGGTGGAGGATGACATCTGGAGGATTACTGTAGGTTTTGGGAAAAGTGGGCGGAGTCTAACCTTATTTAACGCCTCAATGAACTCATCGGACCTGACGAATTCTTCGTGTTGACGTCGAAGAAAATCAACGACGAAGGATGAGCAATGGGAAAATGCGCGGTCTTCCAAATCGATTCCATGGCGAATTTTCTCACCGATCTGGAATTTTTTTTTTGAATTTCTGAAAAAAGCATTTCTGAATTTCAAAACTTCAGAATTTCAGAATTTCCACATTCCAGAATCTCGGAATCTCTGATTTTCAGATTAATTTTTTTATCTGGAAAATTTTTTATTTTTCAATATCTGAAAATTTTGAAATAGTTGAATTTTTCAATAAACCGAAAATTCCGAAATTTCTAAAAACTCAAAAAAATTGGACATTTTGAATTTCTAGATTTGGGAATTTCAGATACCGTAAAACGTGTTGAACCTGTAAAACCGCAAACCCTAATAAAAGGGCCCTCTTTCGAAATTCAGGTAATTTATCTCGGTTCCTGTTAGAGATATGAAAAAGATGAAAACTGATAACTGTTATACTTTGGAAGGGAAACCAGAGGTGAGAATTTGGCTGAAATTTGAAATTTTTTCTGAAAATCGGCTCAAAATTTGGTTGTTAATCATCGAATTCCATAATTCAACGTTTCCAGAAAATTCGATTTTTTCCGGAAAAAATTTTTGGAATAATTTCATAGTTAACGACATTTCTAAATGAAAACTATAGATTTTTCAGTTTATCATAATATCACCAATACTTTATCAGATTTTTGATTTCTTTCACAGGAATCGAGATAATTGATCTCAAAGTTGACAGTGTGGAGGTCCTTCTATTACAGGTTTTACGGTATTCGAATTTTTGAAAGTTTCAAATTTCTGATTTTTTGATTTTTTGAGAAATTGTATTCCAGAGTTAAAAACTCCAGAGCTTTCTTCAGAAATCCCGATTTCTGAACTTCTGAACTTCTGAAATTTCGAAATTTCAGAAAAAAAAGACTCACCGGCGCTTTGAAATGTTTCGGAATCGCTTCACAATTTCCAGTTCGTGATGACAGAAATTTGCAGTAAATCGATTTGGACAGTTGATTTTTCTGAAAAATTGAAATTTCGAAATTCAGAATTTTACGAATTCTGGGCTTCTGGAATTCATGAAACTGTAAAAAACCCAGAATGTTTGAAAAATCTATAGTTTTCATTTAGAAATGTCGTTAACTATGAAATTATTCCAAAATTTTTTTCCGGAAAAAATCGAATTTTCTGGAAATGTTGAATTATGGAATTCGATGATTAACAACCAAATTTTGAGCCGATTTTCAGAAAAAATTTCTAATTTAAGCCAAATTCTCACCTCTGGTTTCCCTTCCAAAGTCATTCTCTCAAACGCTCGAATTGCAAAATATAGATCCAAATATTGCGGTAATGAATATTCCATTAACCATTTTTGGAATAAATCCAAAGCCGTCCGATCTGAAAGAACCGCTTCCAGACTACGAGCCCAGTCGAGATGAGATGATGGTCCACTCTCCATATTACCCCCACAGCCCCTGGAATTTTGGAAAGTTGAAAAAACTGAAAATTCGAGAAAATCGGGGAAATAATAAACAAAAATAGACATAAGTAGGAAAAAATTCAGAAATTCAGAAATTCAGAAATTCCGAAATTCAGAAATCCAAAAATTCAAAAATTCAGAAATTCAAAAATTCAATAATTCAGAAATTCAGAAATTCAGAAATTCAGAAATTCAGAAATTCCGAAATTCAGAAATTCAGAAATTCAAAAATTCAGAAATTCAGAAATTCAAAATTCAGTAATTCAGAAATTCAGAAATTCAGAAATTCAGAAATTCAGAAATTCAGAAATTCAGAAATTCCTTACCTACACAATCATTTTTTCCTCTTATCTCTTATCTCTAAAACCCTCGGTTTCTCATATCAATCACTTCAAAAACTAGGTCAAAACCCATAGAATAGAATCTCCGAAAATCTAAAAAAAGAGATACAAAAGGAAAAATGGCTGATAAGATAACCAAGAAATTTGAGGTTTTCTGCAAAAACATATTTTAAAGGAACATGGTCATTTTTGACTGAGAGAGAGAGAAAGAGAGAGAGAAGGCGAGGGAGGTGAATAATGAGGCACACCATCACATCATTAAAGAAAGCGATAAGAGTGTGGGACGAGGCGGCGAGAAAGTGTTGATCGGTGGAGAGACGCAGACAGTTGGAGAAGAAGAGTAATGGGTGAAGGGGCTGTTTGGAAGAAGTAGTACATATACTCCTTCACTCTCCATTTCTCAAGATGAGCAGATAACAGGAAGAGAGAGGGAGAGAGAGAGAGACGCAGAGAATGAAAAGTTTTGTCGAAGTAAAGGAACGTTGATTGTAGGGAACCAAAGTTTGAGACGTTAAAATCTGAATTTCTGAATTTCTGAATTTCTGAATTTCTGGATTTCTGAATTTCTAAATTTCTGAATTTCTGAATTTCTGAATTTCTGAATTTCTGAATTTCTGAATTTCTGAATTTCTGGATTTCTGAATTTCTGAATTTCTGAATTTCTGAATTTCTGGATTTCTGAATTTCTGGATTTCTGAATTTCTGAATTTCTGAATTTCTGAATTTCTGAATTTCCGAGGCTCTGAAAAATTGGGATTCTGACATTTTGAAATTCTAAAATTCAGAATTTCTAAACCTCAGCATCACAGAAAAATTTGAAATTTCCAAATTTTTGCAAAAAAGAAGGTCATTCGAGGACATATGCACCATGTGGTGAAAATGACAGCAATTGGCGCGAAATTTGAAATTGGAAAATTGACTACCGAAAGATTGAAAAAAATAGGCTTATCTAAGAGGAGTATTTTTTGATGAACTCACTTTTTTCTGGAGTTTTCAAAATGATTTTTGAACTTTGGGAGTCCCTAAAATATTGAAATTTCAACTTTAATTTCGAGAATTTGGAATTTTTCAAATTCCCAGGATTTTTGATTTTTCCTCTTATCCAAAGCTTTTGAATCGGAGAATTTCATCTTATAAATTCACGATTTGAAATTTCTGGGATTTCGAAGTTTTTGAATTTTCAATATCAATTTTTGGGAATTATCTCAAAAGTCAAAAAACTTCAGAATTTCAAAATAATAGAATTCCAGGGTTCCAGTATCTTAGAAACTGTTTTAATTTTATGGGGAAAAAAACCAAATTTTTCTGAATATTTTGGAATTTCAGAATTTTCCGATTTTCAAACACTTTAAGTTATCTGAACTGCTGAATTTGAACCAAAAAATCCCCAAAAATATCGAGAAAATTCTAAATTTTTTGATTCAATTTTCCATAAATGACGATTCTGGTCGGTCCGAACCAAATTGTTCAAAATTAGGACCATAATCGGAGGACTAAAAAGTAAAAAAAAAGAAACTTGAAATTCCAAGGACCTGAAATAAGGACCAAATTTTAAGGGTTCTTAATGTTAGGGACCAAAATCTGAGAGTCAAAATAAATAAACCAAAATTTCAGAAGTTTTTAGGATTCCAACTTTAGGATTCTAAAATTAAGGACCAAATATTAATGACACAAAATTAGGAAAACCAAACTTTAAAGGACCTAGTTTCAAAGATCAAATTTTGAGAACCATAATTAAGGATGGAAATTAAGGCTTCAGCCAAGAAAACCAAAATTAGGGATCAAATTTTAAAGATCAAAATTTTAGGATATCTTAAGAAGACGTCGCCAGAAAATAGAAGAAAAGACGAGCCAGCCTTAATATTCCACTTGAACCAGAAACAGAAAGGAAAAGACAAAAACCTCCTTCCTCCTCTTCTTCTTCAAAACGCGGCCGCCTCCCGGGCGGGCGGTCGGCCGGCGGCGCCTTTAAAACTCTTTGATGTTCGCCGACACTCGCTCTCTGCCTGTCTGCGTCTCTCTTCTCTAGTCTATCTCTCTCCAAACGACACAACTAACACTTATATTGCGCCTCATTTATTATTTTCTCTCTTTCTTCTTCTTCTTTCCCCAACCCATCCATTTTTTTTTTCGAAAAAATCGTTCGGCTTCTTTTCTTCTTTTTCTTCTTCTTTTTGTCGGCTTTTTTGTTGTTGGATATGGAGAAGTTTTGATAAGAAAAAAAGAAGAAGAAGAAGGTCATGAAGACTAAAATTCTAGACAAAAATAATTAGAAATTATTTGGTTCAAAAGGGGTATGAATGATGATGATGATGTGATGGCGGTTTGAGATCAAAGGAAAGGAATTTGAAAAGGAAAAAAGATAAGAATTGTTTTGAAAACATTTTTTTTCAAATTAGAGGTTTTTATTGGGGAGAAACACACGAGAAATTGGAATTTAGAAGATGGGGAAAATTCCGAAATTCAGAAATTCTGGAGAAATCCAAAATCACTAAAACGGAAAACATTCTGAAACTCGCGTATTCTGGAATTCAGACATCGTTTACAGTGCCGAAATGATCTGTTAAACAGACAATGGGTTACTGTAGCCAAAAAATTCGAATGAACAATTTTTGAAATTCTGAATTTCTAACTTTCAGAATTTTTGAGAAACTTGACCAACTTGTAGAAATTTCAAGTTTTTTGAATTATTTTTGAAATTCGAAAATTTGAGACTTTTTACAAGATTCGGAATTTTCCGGATTCAGCAAAACTTGTTAAATTCAGAAGTTCAGAAAATCAGGATTTCAGATTTTTGAAATTCAGAAATTCAGATTTTCAGATATTTGACAGTTTAGAAGTTTTAAAAAATGGAAAATGTCAGAAATGTTTTTTCAAATTCTGAAAAAAAACTCCACAGCTCAAAAAATCTGGAAAATTCGAATGGAAAAAAAATTCTTGAGATTTGAGAAATTTCCAAAAAAACCCAAATTTTTAGAATTTGTGGAAAAAGTCAGAAACTCAGAAATTTGAAAAAACCAACAATTTAAATTCCTAAATTCAAGTTTACTGGAAAAATCGAAAAATTCAAGCAATGCAAAAAATGAAATATTTTGAAAAATCCAGATTTCCACATATCCACAAGCAAAAAATAACTGAAATTTGAAAATTCAGAAAATCAGAAAGTCAAAAATCAAGAAATCGAAAAATGAAAATTGAAAAACTCGGAGAATCGGGAAATGGGAAAATCAATTTTTTCAGAAACATCAGAAAAGAGAAGATAAAGACTCAGAAAAAAAATCTCCGAATTTCGGACACTTCTCGAAAGGTTTCATGAAATAAAAAAGACGAAAAAAAGATGCCGTTGATTCCAAAAAAAACCTATGAAATCTCCAGAAATCTGGAGATGAGACTCATAGAAAATCTGGGAGAAGAATAAGAAGAAGAAGAATAAGAAGAAGAAGAAGGAGGAGGAGGAGGATAAATTTTATAGGATTTTCAATTCGTCTCCTTCAGAAAAGAAGAGGATGAAGGAGAGGACAGCTGCACATTTATTATTTTCCCCACTTCTGACTGCATTCAGTTTTCGGAAAAAGGGATTTTCGGGTATTTTGGGGAAGAAGAAGGAGAACATTTTTATAATTCAAATAGAAGAAAAAGGCGGCAAGTTTGCAAAAGAGAGACTTCAAAAAAGATAGCTGAAAATCAAAACAGCTGAAAATCTTACAAACAAATTTTGAAAAAAGGTCTAGAAAATCAAAAAATGATGACCTAATAAACTCTAACAATCGTGACCTAGAAAGCCGAAGAGCAGTGGCCGAGAAATCCAAATAGTGGTGACCTAGAAAACCAAAGAATGACTGCCTAGAAGCTCTAAAGTACAGTGGCCTAGAATCCTCAAAATAGTGACCTGGAAAACTCAAAAATGGCGACCTAGAAACATGATGAGTGCTTGCCGTAAGATAATGTGGCCTAGAAAATTGAAAAAAAAAGATGGCCTAGAAAACCGGGTTTCGTGGACGAGAAATTCAAAGGATAGTGGCCTAGAAACTCCAAGCCAACAAAAAATGAATGTCCTGGAAATCCAAAGAACCGTGACCTAGAAATCCGAAAAATTATAACCTAGAAACCCAAACTATGTGACCTGGACAACCAAAAAAATGCATGGCCTATACATTAAAAGAAAGCGATCTAGAAACCCAAAAGAATGGTGACCTAGAAACCCGAAAACTGGTGGCCTAGAGAACCGCATTTTGTGGCCGAGAATTCCAAAACATAATGACCTAGAAATAGAAAAAAGTCGTGGACCAGAAAACTCCTAAAATTTATGACCTAGAAACCAGAATACTATGTCGTATAAAATCAGATTCTGTGGCCTAGGAAACCAAAAACGATGGCCTAGAAATCCAAGAAATAAAAACTTGGATTGGAGACTACGGTTTCGATTCGACGTTGGACTTGTTAGGCGAGTATAAGTAAAATTGATTAGAAATTCAAATTTCCCGTTAGAAACTAGCCAAGAACACTTTTTCCTGAGTTGAAACAATTCATGGCCGAACTTTTCAATTGGTGGCCTAGAAAAAAGTAAAAACTCGGCCACCTTGGAAATTCTCGATTTTTCATCTGCCCCGGGGTACTTTTTGATGGGAAATACAATTTTTAAGATTCAATCGTCTGACAGTAATTAATTAATTAAAAAGTGGCCTAGAAATCAAAGAAATGATGACTAGAAACCCAAGTTGGGATTCTAGGTCACCCAAATATTTGTACCATTTTCCCAAGCTTTTCTCCACCGGAAGGTGACCTGTCAAATTGCTCAGTTTGACCCCATTCATAGGGGTCATGACACCATCATAAATCCATCATCTGTCATGTACTATGACAGGAGGTCCCTCCGGTTTAGACTCCGCCCACTTTTTTTTGGGAGGGGGGGGGTCCTTTTTTGTGTCTAATGGACCATTCTTCTGTTTTCTCTTGTACATTTTTTGGGGTGTTCTAGGACATTTCTAAAGTTCTAGGCCACCAATTTTCGGGTTTCTAGGCCATCATTTTTTCTCTCGCAAAAACACATTTTTCAGTTCCCGCCAATCATGGTCCAGCTACTCCGTCTGGATTTGGTATCACTCAACGAAGTTCTCAGCCATCTGGAACCCATCGAATTGTGAGTTTGTATTTGGATTTCTAGGTCATGAGTTTTCGGGTTTTCTAGGCCACCGAGTTTTTGGTTTTCTAGGCCATCATTTTCTAGGATTCTAGGCCATGAAATTTGGTTATCTAGGTCATAGTTCGGATTCCTTTTAGGGCATCATATTTTGGGTGTCTAGGTCACCAATTTTAAATTTCCAGGGCACGTTTTTTTTAGGATTTCTAGGCCACCATTTTTTAGAGTGTTTAGGTTAGCATTATTTGGAATTTTCTAGACCATGACTATTTGGTTTCCTAGGCCACGATTTCTCAGGTTTCGAGGCCATAAAAGCTGGTTTTCTAGGCCACCATTCTTCAGGATTCTAGAGCATTATATTTTGTATTCCTAGGCCACCGATATTTTGGATTTTTCGGCTGCCCCCCCCCCCCCCATTTATATGGTTTTATTGGTCACGAGCTATGGATTTTGTAGGCCCCGACATCCTAGGCCGTCATATTTCGGGGTACTAGGCCATAAAGTTTCGGGTTTCTAGGCCACAATTCTTTTGGATTGTTCGACCATCATTTTTCGATTTTCTTGGCCACCATGTTTGGGATTCTAGGCCGCGAAATTTAGAATTCCTAGGCCATCATATTTTTGGGTTTCTAGGCTACAAAATCCGGATTTCTAGGCCGCTTTTTTCTGGTTTTCTAGGCCACCAATTCTAGGAGTTTTCTAGGCCCCACGACTTTTTGTATTTCTAGGCAATCATATTTTTGGGTTTCTCGTCCACAAAATGCGGTTCTCTAGGCCACCAGTTTTCGGGTTTCTAGGCCACGACTTTTTGTATTTCTAGGCCACCATTCTTTTGGGTTTCTAGATCGCCTTTTTTTAAATTTTTAGGTCATTTTTTTGTTGGTTTTCTAGGCCACAGAGTTTGGGTTTCTAGGCTATAATTTTTCGGATTTATAGGCCAGGGGTTCTTTGGGTTCCCAGGACATCCATTTTTTGTTGGCTTAGAGTTTCTAGGCCACCGATTCTTTGAATTTCTAGGCCACCGATGTTTTGGGTTTCTCGGCCATAATTTTTTGGATTTCTAGGCCACCAATTTTCTAGATTTTCTAGGCCACCCTTTTCTGGTTTTCTAGGCCATCATGTTTTGGGATTCTAGGCCACGAAATTTAGAACAACTAGGCCATCAAATTTTTGGATTTCTAGGCCGCTATTTTCTGGTTTTCTAGGCCACCAATTCAGGAGTTTTCTAGGCGATCACAATGTGGATTTCCGGGTCACCAATTTTGGCTTTCTAGGCCACCATTTTCAACTGAAATCCCCAAATTTTTTTCCAGATTTCTCCTCTCCAGATGCTCCAAAATGTGCAATCGACTCTCTCAAAAAATTATTCAAAAATCTCCGCATTCCTATTCTCTAGACATTCATTTGAACGAGAATTTCAGCATTGGAATTCAATATGAAACTGGAAATTCATTTCAATATTTTTCGTGTTATTTTCGAAAAATCCCCAAGTTTTTTGGAAGTTTCTGGATGGTTCTAGAGCCAAAAAAATTAATTTTTTGCTCGGAAAAATGGCAAAATTTGATTCTGGAAATCACAAATTTCTATCTGCGACCCATTGAAATTCTTTATATGAAAGAATCCAGAATCTATACCCAAAAATCAATGAATATTTTGAAATATTTGGGTCAAACTCAAAAATCGATAAAATTCGGACACGTGGATTTAAGCCATTATGCAGCTGACAATTTGTCTGAAATTTTGGATAATCTGAAAATCGTGGAAGATTTGGAATTGGATATGTCCTCGATTTCTGAATTTGTTAAAAACGAATTTCGAATTTGGGAATTTAAGAATTTAACGATGAGCAATGAGTTCTGGCTTGATTTTCCGTGTCTTCTGGATTCCGAAATTGTGAAAATCAGCGGAAATAAGCTGAGCAATAAAGACGTCAATCGATTTTTGAAGTTTTGGAAAATGGGCGGAGCTTTGAAAATGAGAAATTTTACTTTGGAAGTTGTGGAAATGGATTTTGAGAGAATTTTCGAAGGGATTGAGTACAAGAAAAGTTCTGAGAAGTGAGTTTTGGCGGGAAAATTGAAAATTGAAATTTTGAATTTCAGAAAAATACATATACAATTCGAAACGCCAACGACACGCCAGCTACAGTATACTTGAGGATTTCCAACGGAAAACCAATTTTTAATATGATAATTAATTTTTGAATTTTAAAGATCATTTTCAGAATTTCGATTTTCAGAATTTCGATTTTCAGAATTTCGGTTTTCAGAATTTCAGAATTTCTAAATTTCTGAATTTCTGAATTTCTGAATTTCTGAATTTCTGAATTTCTGAATTTCTGAATTTCTGAATTTCTGAATTTCTGAATTTCTGAATTTCTGAATTTCTGAATTTCTGAATTTCTGAATTTCTGAATTTCTGAATTTTTGAATTTCTGAATTTCTGAATTTCTGAATTTCTGAATTTCTGAATTTCTGAATTTCTGAATTTTTGAATTTCTGAATTTCTGAATTTCTGAATTTCTGAATTTCTGAATTTCTGAACTTCTGAACTTCTGAACTTCTGAATTTCTGAATTTCTGAATTTCTGAATTTCTGAATTTCTGAATTTCTGAATTTCTGAATTTCTGAATTTCTGAATTTCTGAATTTCTGAATTTCTGAATTTCTGAATTTCTGAATTTCTGAATTTCTGAATTTCTGAATTTCTGAATTTCTGAATTTCTGAATTTCTGAATTTCTGAATTTCTGAATTTCTGAATTTCTGAATTTCTGAATTTCTGAATTTCTGAATTGTGGAATTTCTTGGATTTCTGAATATCTGAACTTCTGGACAACTGTATATCAAGGACACTGTACTACGTTTCTCCCTGAATCTCTTAATTCTACTTATTCATATTACTGTATCACACCGTGTAGTGTACCCAGATTACAGTAGTCTGCTTCTATATTACTGTAACCCACATTTGTACATAGAAGAGTTACAGTAATCTCTAAATGAGCTACAGTAATCTCTAAATCAGATACAGTAATGCATAGTCTAGTTACAGAGATCCTCATGAACTACAGTAATGCATCCGATAAGATCAGGATTACTTGAAAGTTTGATTTTCAGAATTTCGAAATTTTTGAATTTCAGAATTTCAGAATTACTGATTTTTGGAATTATTTTTAAAAACTTTATTTCTAATAAATCATTCAAAAAACAATCAAGTTAATGTTCTTCAGCGGATACTGTAGAAGTATGGGTCGAAGATTCATTGGGACTGGACGTCTTCTGAATATTCTGAAGACGTGGATGAGCAATTTGATATTTGGTTGGGTCGAATGAGGAGACGATGAGAGCAATGAAGTCTTTGGCGGACTGAAAATAACAGACTTTTGAGAATCTGAAATTCAAATATTCTGAATCCTTCCCACCTCGTTTTCCAACATCTTCTGAACTTCTGCATGAGTCGTAGTATTTGTCACAAAAGTCCCATCAATAGCCAGAATCCGATCGTCGAGATGGAGCTGAAACTTTAAGCTCAATTATCTCAGTTCCTATAAAAGATATCAAAAAATTGCCAACTGATAAAATGTAGATAATATTATGATAAACATTTTATCGATTGGCACAATTTTGATATCTTTAATAGGAAGTGAGATAATTGAGTTCGGGATTACTGTACCTGATCATCATCAGCCATGGATCTCTTCAATTTCCCCGTGACCACAACGGGACGGAATTGATCACATCCTCCAGTGATTTCCAATCCTAATCCCTGATTGATATGCTCTCTCATCAGAATCACTAGACGAGGTGGACTCTGCCAATCATCGCCATTTTCGAAAGCGGCGCCTGTGAGATCCGAAGAGTTGATGCTGAAAATTTCAGACTTTTTGAATTATTGAATTTCCCGCCAAACCATACCGATTAACGAGCCACAATGTATTCAAACGCAACAATTGATTCTCTTTTTCAATTTCATCCCATAATTTCGATTTGACCGCCGATTCGATGCTCGACGCGTTTCGCACCAAATCCATCATTTGTCGCATTGCGGCGAGCTCCTAAAAATCGGGAAATTGTGGCCTAGGAAACCGAAATTTGGTTTTTAAAACAAGAGCTTTAAAATGAACCTAAACACGGTATATTTTGGGAAATTTTGAATTTTGACTTTAAAGGCATGGACCATTAAAAATTTTGGGAAAATTCAAAATCAGGCGAATAAACTCGTGTTTAGGCTCATTTTAAAGCTCTAAACAAGAACAATTCATTTTCGGCCATCACTAAACACCGTTTTTATGCTAATTCCAGTCAATTTTCATACTATAGAACCCACCCTAGCATAAAATCTGGTTGCCATCAAATTCAAAACATTCTTCTTGGAAATTTCATTGATATGAAGAGCCATTCTCTCGTTTCTCCGCTTTTCCACATTGTATTTTGCCTCGAACATACGGTAGTCACGGATTTGGGCCATATTGGAACGGACCTCGTCGAGCTGGAAAATTTGGAATTTTCAAAAATTAAAAAATCCTGAAATTTAAAAATTCGAAAATTCAAAATACAGTACCACTTTCGAAAAAACTTTCGAAAACATTTCCAACGAAAATTCATCGGATTTTCTGAGATGATCGGCATTCAGAAGAAGATGATATTGAGCGATGACGTCATCATGAGCGTTTGCTTTGGCCTCCAATTCGATACATTTTTCTTTAGATTCTCGATTCTCTTCAATTACAGTATTCTTTTCCGATTCCTCAGTGATTGCAATTGTGCACACCTGAAAATTTGAGATTTCTGAGTTTTCGGATTTTTGAATTTCTGAGTTTTCGGATTTTTGATTTTCTGAATTTCTGAATTTCTAAATTTCTGAATTTCTGAAATTCTGATTTTTCTAAATTTCTGAATTTCCGAATTTTTGAATTTTCGAGTTTCTAAATTTCTGAATTTCCGAATTTTTGAATTTTCGAGTTTCTGAATTTCCGAATTTTTGAATTTTCGAGTTTCTGAATTTCTGAATTTCTGAATTTTTGAATTTCTGAATTTCTGAATTTCTGAATTTCTGAATCTCTGAATTTCTGAATTTCTGAATTTCTGAATTTCTGAATTTCTGAATCTCTGAATTTCTGAATTTCTGAATTTCTGAATTTTTGAATTTTTGAATTTCTGAATTTCTGAATTTCTGAATTTCTGAATTTCTGAATTTCTGAATTTCTGAATTTCTGAATTTCTGAATTTCTGAATTTCTGAATTTCTGAATTTCTGAATTTCTGAATTTCTGAATTTCTGAATTTCTGAATTTCTGAATTTCTGAATTTCTGAATTTCTGAATTTCTGAATTTCTGAATTTCTGAATTTCTTCCTATTGCAAAAAGGTAATCCTATTAGTACAGTATTACCCAGAGGTACAGTAATCTGCCCAGCTACACAAAACAGAAAAGTATGTAGCATGTAATATGTCGTTACAGTAATTTTTACATTACCAAAGCGAATAATTTAGCTACAGTAATCCTATTACCTTTTCTAACTTTTCCAAAATACAGTAATTTCCTAACTACACATTTGGTAGTTATATTAGTAGTCCTAACGGTTCCATTATTCCCCTAAAGGTAACGAAAATTTCAAAATCAAAAAAAGTCAAAATCAAATTTTTTGAAAACTAAAAAAAATCTGAAAAATTCCTGAAAATTCCAGAATGATGTACCCTAACAACTACAGTACCTAAAACTAAGATACTATAAAAACACCCAGTTTTTGAAAAACCGAATATTTTCAAAGATTACTGTATCCTTTACCTTCGTGAAACAATTGGAAATCGTCTTCAAATGCGTAATCCAATCATCCTTATCTTCTGAAGCCAATGCTCGGGTCATTGCTCCATTGAACAGTGCACTGATACGATTGATCGACTGTTGACACGTCATTTCTCACAATCGATTATCGATTTTTCGAATTCGATTTTCAGATCAGACGAAAAAATTTCAGACAAGAGAAAATTTTATTTTGGCAAAACGAACAGAGAAAGAGTCTAGAAGCAGTGGAAAACGTGGGAAAACAGATGCCGTGGGGCACTTTTTTAAAGGGACATAAGGAAAAAAAAGGTCACGGGAAAAATGGAAAAATGTGCAAAAAATGAGAAAAAACGTGGGAAATTCCTTTTTTGAAAAAAACCGGTAAATTCAAATGCTTGGAAAAAATTTTTTTTTGAAAATTTTTTTCTGAAAATTCCAGATTTCATGTGGACCTGGACTCGTCGGAATTGTTGGATGAAGAACGAGAGGACGTTGGCTCATCCATACTGTAGAGATTGTAACTGAAATTTTTATTCAATGTTTGGATTACTGTAGTCTGGGTTACTGTAAATTTGTTTCTGTTGGAAATAAGTTCTTTTTGGGTTACTGTATTATTTCTTATTCGATTTTTAGATTACTGTAGTTTCTTTCATTTTTTGGAAATAAATAGTTTTTCTTGGCTTACTGTAGTTGTTCTTTTTTTTCAAAAATAATTTTTGGATTTTCTTATTACTGTGGTTTTCGTTTTTTTTTTTGGACGATATTTTGATTTTTTGGATTACTGTAGTTTTTTTAAAAAAAGGTTTTCACGATTTTTTTAAAATTCAAAAAATTCAAAAAATTCAAAAATTCAAAAATTCAGAAATTCAAAAAATTTCTGTTTTGTGTAGCTGGGCAGATTACTGTACCTTTGGGTAATACTGTACTAATAGGATTACCTTTTTGCAATAGTAAGAAATTCAGAAATTCAGAAATTCAGAAATTCAGAAATTCAGAAATTCAGAAATTCAGAA